CCAAAGGCATTGCAAATGGCAGGCTTCCTACCTCCAGACAGATAGAATAGCAGCAAGCAGGAATTCAACCGGCAAAGCGCAGGCTTGCTTCTGGCCTGGCGCAAACACAGCGGAGGGGGGCATCAATCCCAGGGCTTCACGCAAGCTTCCTTCTGAAGGTCTCAATAAAGATTGCAAAGATGGATCTTTCTGATCTGCCGTGTTGTGATTCTTTTCTGTTATAAGCAAACCCCGGTTCGCTCGCAACGTTTTTAATGCTTGTCCTCCCCTCTTAGATGCCCTATAAGCGGCATTTCTCCCCCTCCCCACTTGGCTGGTAGTAGAAAAACATCCGATAGTTCCAAGCGGTGCTTTCTCTGCCTCCTCCTGCAAAGAGGGGGGGCTGAGAAACTATACACACACACAGAGGCTGCTTTAGATAGTAAATGCTTTATTCTTCCTTTATTAAAAAACCTGCATTAATTACTAAACGATGCTAAGCCCATTTCTCTGGACCGAAAAAAAAGGGGATGGGGATCCGAAGAGGCCATTCTACAAGGGAAACTAGCCCACCCTCTTCCTCAGTGGCTACCACAAGAGAGACTCACAATGGCACACCTCCAGGCACCCACAACACACACCCTCCAGGCACTCGTACGCACACACACACACACAGCAAGGATCGAATCGTACCGTTGCAGCAAAGTGGGTTTTTGCAAAGGCTTCCTGGGGAGCCCTGTTCTCACGTACATCAAAAAGGGGTTTATTTTAAAGGGTTCAGCCCCACTTCTTAGCTTCCCCCCCCCCATGGTCTTATTAACCCTCCAGAGGGGGGGGTTCCTTGGCACAAAAACATCTGTTAAGGGGAAAAAAAGAATCCTTCCCAGAAGAAAACGGAGCTTGAGGTCCTGCGATGGGCTTTTTTGGCACAAGACGTTTTCCCACCTCAACGGGGAAACGTGGAAGCAAGAGAGAGCCCACCTCCACCCCAGAGAACGGGGTCCATAATGCCAAGCAGCAGTGGGAGAGGTGGGGGGTTGAAGCCCCCCTTTCTTGAGATGGGATCTCGGCAACAAAACACCCTCACCGCCGCATCTGCACAACAGCACCTGCAGCTCCTCGGAAAGTCCATCTGGCTTGCAAAAAAATCCCAGCTTGTAAGGCAGGAAAGACACCCCCCACCCACCCACCCCCCAAATACCCCACGAAGACCTCGGACTGCAGCCGCTGCAGAAAGTGGGATCATCAGGCAAAACTTGAGCTGGCTCAGCCAAATTGACCACCAGCAGCCAAAGCCGGGATTTCTAATGTGGGAAGCTGGAGGTCAGAGAAACTGGGGTGCTGGGAACCAGGCAGCTCAGAGGTTCCCCGATATTCGTTAAGAGTTGGCCAAATAAAGAGAGGACAAGCCCACCCAGGGGTCCCAAGGCTCGCTTCCTGCATTCGAGGGAGACCCTGTATTCTTCAGTGCATCCAAATCAGACCAAAATCCNCTTGTTACTATTCCTTTGCTCCTCAAACAACTGATGGATCTTTCTCCCCATACAGTCCTCCGAAGGAAAGGCTGACTATGCTGCTCTCCCAAGACATGGACCGCCACACCACGCCTCTCCTCAACCCAACCTCAGGCCTCCTGCAGCACAACCACCCTCAGGCAGAAACCTCCAGCCCCTTGGGAAGCCACGAGGCCACCCCCTTGTCCACGGAGCCTGGGTTGCAGAAAAACGGCACATCCTCACAGTATGATTTGATGCCTGGAGAAATCATCCTTGCCAGCTTGTTTTGGGGGGTCTTGTGGCTATTCTCCGTCTTCGGGAACTCCCTGGTTTGCCTCGTCATCTACAGGAGCAGAAGGACTCAATCAACCACCAATTATTTCGTGGTCTCCATGGCCTGTGCAGACTTGCTGATTAGTGTCGGGTGCACACCGCTCGTCCTGTTCCAGTTAGCGTCCGACGGATGGACCTTGGGGAGTATGATGTGCAAGACAATGAGGTATTTTCAGTATCTCACCCCCGGGGTTCAGATTTACGTCTTGCTTTCCATCTGCATTGACAGGTTCTACACGATTGTCTACCCGCTAAGTTTCAAGGTGACGAGGGAAAAAGCCAAAAAAATGATTGCGGCGTCTTGGATTTTCAGCGCGGCCTTGATGTCTCCGGTTTTTATTTTTGGAGGCTCGGACAAAGACCACCACTGCCGATTTTTCCCTCCTTATTCTTGGGATGGCGCCATTTACAGCATCATCCATCTCTTCGTAGCTTTCCTGATTCCATCGGTTCTCATCGTTTTCTTTTACCAAAAAGTCATCAAGCACATTTGGAAAATCGGGAGCGAGGGCAGAGCAGTCCGGAGGACGATGAACGTGGTCCCTAGGACAAAGGTGAAAGCCATCAAAATGTTCCTGACGCTTAATGCTCTCTTCCTCCTCTCGTGGCTCCCGTTTTACGTGGTCCAACTGTGGCACCCACCCGAGACCGATCGTAGGAGATGCTCCTTGGTCTTTCTGACGGTGACTTGGATATCATTTAGTTCCTCGGCCCTGAAACCTGTGTTGTATTCGGCATATAATGCCAACTTCAGGAGAGGGATAAGAGAGACTTTCTGTATGTCCTCCATGAAATGTTACCGGAGCAATGCCTACACCATCACAACCAGCTCCAAGATGGCCAAGAAAAATTACGTGGGGATCTCAGAGTTCCCCATTGCGCCAAAAACCGTTTCCAAAGACACCATATACGATTCTTTCAACAGAGAAGCAAAAGAGAAAAAACTCGCCTGGCCTATTAATTCAAACCCACCAAACACATTTGTATAATTAATGCCGGCTTTTTCAAAGGCTCTTCCTTGGAACAGATGTCCGTCTCCATGAAGGAATTCCATACACTTGAGCAGGGAAAATAAAATGCTTTGTTTTATTGAGTCTGTTTATTTGATCCGACGGCAGATTGTTTTAAAGCTACAGACTTCTTTAGAATAACCGTTTCAGTCGGCACCGGCAATACATTCTTGCTTTCTGCATTTGAACCAGTGGTGGGATTCAAACATTTTGGCTACTGGCTCTGTGGGCATGGCTTGATGGGCGTGGCATGAATTGGTAGGTGGCTTGGAGGGCGTGGTGTGGCGTGATGGCCGTGGCAGGGGAAGGATACTGTCAAATCTCCATTCCCTCCCCACTCCAGGGGAAGGATACTGTCAAATCTCCATTCCCT